CGATTATCCTCATGGATTTAGATGGCTTGGAGTTCTCACAGCCGATCAATATGGGCAAGTTGAAGAAATAATATCCCTGAGAGGCTCGCTAGGCTAAAAACCCGAAGTGTGACCTAGGAAAAAGTTAGAGAATGAAAAATTAGAAATAAGAAAAATAGAGCTCGCAAGGTCGAAAACCTGAAAGGGCGGCTTTGGCAAAAGTTAGAGCGCAAAAGGGGAGTGTTAATACTCGAGTGAACCCTAGCCGAACTACATAAGGCCTAATTCCCATCTTTGGGATATGTAGGCAACTTTATCTTGAAGTTCGCTGTAACACCCCAAAAATGCAAATTATAATTAACTGAATTATCCATGTGTTAATTGCGGATTATATGATTTAATTTGTGTATATTTGTTCAAATTGGGAAATTATTTGTTGAGAATACAACTTTGGAATTGAAATTGATGACATAAATGGGTTCATAAATCAAAATTGAGTACGATGATATGTTAATTGGAATTTTTAGAGTTATCTGTGAAGTTTAATTAAAAATTGATTCCGTCTGATTCGCTAATTTTAATAGGTTGGAATTAAATAATTGAATAGAAATTAGAGCTTAATACACATTAGTATAATTTAATTTAGTGTAATTAAGATTTTAAGATGTTGAGACTAATTTACTTTGAGTCAAATTAATCTTAATTAATCTCTTAGCCTTAGGTAATTTTACTTAACCTATTAATCTATTTAATATGAGCCTAGTGTCTTTCATACTCATCAAATGAATTTAGATGAGAGAGCTTGTGGGTCTTATTGGATGGCTTCACAGTATACACGTAGAGAGAGAGGAAGAGAGACTTGAGCGTGTAAACTCAACCCAGGAAGAAAGAAGAAAAAAAAGTGAAGTGAAGAAACCATTGCTACTACACTCTACCCCTCACAATTCACTCCCTTTTGGCAACGATTCTCCTCCCTAATTTCATGAATTAGAATGTAGTTGAAGAATTATGCCCTTAAGTTAAAGAATATGAGATTAGGCAAGAAAATATGAACTTATTTGAAGAGGGTTCATATAATGAAAAGCTTGTTACATGCATGAGTTCATATGTGAAGAATGAGTGTTTTAGCTCCCAAATTCTACATACATGGCATGATTTTTATGGAAATTTGTTTTTATCTATTGGAATTCTTGCATGGGTCTTCAATTGAGAGGGAATTGCATGGAAGCTTGAGTTTTAGAGCTCACACTTGCATGTTTTATACATTTACATACATGTACATAATAAAGTGAGAGTTTGATTTCTTCATGGCAATTTGAGGTTGTTTTCAACTCATGATTTTTGTTTGAACTTGGAAATTGTGAATTTAAAGTGTTTTTGAAGAAGTTTCGGGCCTTAAAATTGAAGTTGAATTGCGAAATTTATATGTTTATGAGTTTCTGATTCAGTAATTTAAACATGACTGAATAATTGTAATTTAATGTGTATGAGCCTAATTTAAGTTTAATTGTGTAATTAGTGAACTTAATAAGGGTTGGTATATGATTAGATTATTTATATTTAATTAGTTTGGTTAATACAAGACTAAACATGTTTTAATTAGAGGTTAAAGAAAATTAATAATCTAATTAATTCTTAATTCTAGCCATCCATATTTAAAAGCTTAAGTGAACTAAATATGTTTAAGATGATTGTGTATCGTGCTATGCATATTTGTGATTGTAGGTCACGAGTCAAGGACTGGTTGACCAACCGTTCTGGAAGCCCACTGTGAGTAACATTTCTGTAAAGATATGTTGATATGAACTATGTTTCAACTGTTATGCGATAAGTTATAATTTTTGAAATGTTATTTTAATTATGTGAACGAATGTCCTATTTGCGAATCTATTATGGCATCCATAGATAGTCCCAAGTCATGGGAGACGACATGTAAATGCGAGTCCATGACACATGTGATACGAGATCTTGTTAGCCACATCATTGTAGTGATATGTGTTTAATCGGTATCCGGAACCGATTACTCTAGTCGTAAGACGATATGTGATATGTTCTATGAGATATACCATTATGTTATGTTCTGATATAAGACTGATATGAATAATTGTGTCATGATTTATTTTACGGATATGATATATTTGGGATTCGTTCACTAATCCCTTTACGTTAATGTTATTCACTAGGTTTTAGCTCATTGTTTATATATATATATGTATAGGTGAGCGTTCTGGAGGGCAAGCCTAGAAGGGATCTTTAGCTGAGCCACCGTTTTGAAGCTTATCAAGTTGTTTTGTGTGCCTCTGAGTTGGGGCTAGGCCTGGAAGGCCGTTGTCAGGCTTTTGATCGTGAAGTACACTTTTGTTATGTGCATATGTTATGTATAAGATGTTAAGTTATAAGTTATGTACTGAATGTGGGTAAATTAACGTTTTTACATGTAAATATCTGTTCATATAGATGCACAACTCATTGGACTATTGGTGTTTTGTATATTGCTTCTGCTAGTCCCAATTATTTTTTATTATACAGGAAGGCCTTTGGTAATCTCAGATTACTGGCCGGTTACGACGCCAAACTTATAGGGGCGAGTTTGGGTCGCGACATTCAGCCATAACAATCTCTAACTCCACTGTCCTATCCATTTTGTTTGATTGGTCCATCTTTTTCCATCATCTGTTAGCTTGGTTGTGTTACCTTCATTTGGTAGGAGGGCCAGTTACAAGATAAAGCAGTGATGGTGAATGCAGTTATGAGCAGTTATGATCTTTTGATTTAGGGTTGTACATCTTGAGGATTGATTCCGTGTGTGTCAGGTAGTGACCATTTCCGAAAATTATTTTGAAAAGTTTTAGTGAGGTTGATTTTCTCAAAATTTTACCTTTTACAACAATAGACCATTTTAGACCAAAAAGGAAAATTTTCAGTACTTACAACTTTAATTCCTTGATTTCAACACAAGTATATTCTCCAACCCTGTGATTAAATCGAAGTTGCTTTTACATCGTAAAACTTGAAAAGAAAAGTCAAAGCAATAAACTAGGGGCACAGATAAGTCCTGTGGTCCTGTGTCTTCTCCTCGTACTCGTAGAAGTCTCTGCTGCCAAAATTGGCCCAACATGTGTCTCATTCTCAAGCCAAGCCAAGCACTCGCTAGAAAGGGTGTAACTAAAGCCAACAACAAGGGCCAAAATCTCTCTCGTCCTCCAAGCTAGAAAGGGTGTAACTAAAGCCAACAACAAGGGCCAAAATCTCTCTCATCCTCCAAGCAGTGAGGTATCGGGGCCAAGTGTGAAGCATGAACGAGAAATTGAGCCAGGTATTCCACCTCTTTCTTCAGACGAGTCTGATCATGTCCAGACTAGCGTCTGAACCGGAATAGAAAATAGAACACACAGTGTGTAAGGCCAATCAATTGTATACTCAACTGTCAGGACATGTTGTAGCCCATCTCTGCCAAATTAAGCTAGGGGTAATGCCAAGTGATATCAGCCGCAAATCTACTACACGTCCACTAGCACCACAATCCCTCTGAAGAAAAGTCCATTAGAGGCTGACAAAAGAAGTAAGCTCTGGTCGAGTACTCGGGGCAAGGGTCCACTATCTTCAGCTTATCCATCAACCACACCTGGGAAAGGATGAAAAATAAGGGAGATTAAAGAATAGAGAGATGTACGTTGAGAGAAAAGTAAGGAAATGAGCTTTGAGAGGAAAAATAGAGAGTGAGTGCCAAGTGATGTGAAAAGTCATAAAGAAGAAAAGGTGGGAAATGATACTTGGAGAAGCAATGGACTCCCTGCTAACCGAGTAATCTCTCGCCGATGAAAAGCATCTAAACCCATCAGGGTCTTAGCCAATGCCAAACCTTTGCAGCTCTTACCTTCCTTGAGGCATTGGACCACTTCGATTAACCTAATGCTGCCTCTGCCGTAACTAGGGGCAAGAAGGAAGTGTGCAAGCAAACATAAACAGAGGGCATGTTGATGACAACCTCGCCAGAGAGGTCATCTTTGTCTCTAATGCCGAAAAATCGATGGATCAAGCTGGGTATATCGAACTCCCCGTCACGAGCCAAGGATCGAGCCTCGTGTAAAGTAAGCCCACATATCCATTCAAGAGCCCATGCATGGCCAAAACGAGGTTGAGGCATAATCTCCTCATCGCCGGGACTCTATTAAAGCTTGAAACTCTTCAAGGGTTGGGCACATCTCTTGTGCATTGAAGCAAAATACATGTGTAACTGGGTTCCAGTATCGAATAGCGACATGAAGGAACGAAAAAAAAAAATGAAGTACGGCTCAACGAAAAAAGCGCGTTTATGTTGAAATCACAGAAATTTACCTTTTACGTGTCATCCAAAGTGGCTATCTAATCCTTGAGCCTCTTGGCAAGAAATATCTCCATATTCAGAGAAAACAACAGCAAAGATAATACTCTGTTGAAGAAACAGCAATAGAAAACCTTTATAGAGGATAAGGTTGTGTGAGTGGCTGACAGATGTTGCCAACTGTCCAGCCACATGTCTTGGCTGGCTGACCACCTTTCCTGGCCGGCCGTCCATTCAAGTGCCTGGCCGACTATATGTGTTGGCCAGGCAGTTGGCAGCAGTGTTATGTTTGGCCTCTCTTTACTTTGAGGTCTTTTTTTGAGTCTTTTGTTTCTAGCAAGTGTAAATAGATGTGTTTACGTAGTTTTGACTTTGTTTTTCAATTATCGAGTTATATTTTGCATTTTGGGTCAGTTGTCGGCTCAATATCAGGTTACGAACACCGTTAAAATATAAGCAATTTTAGTCTCAAATTCAAAATTTGATCAGTTTTATGCAAGTGTGGTGCCGTTCTTGGGATGCAAAATAAAACCCGTTTTATAAAACTGCAGGGTTTTACTCCGATCATAGTTTTTACGAAAGAGAAAATACAAGTGTTTTAAAACAAACGTAAAAACCTATCTGAAGTTATACAAGTGCTAAACTACCAAAACAAAAGAAAAAGAAAAAGAAAATACAAAAGTCAGTATCGATCATATCAGGCTAAAGAGGCTCTCTTTGTCCTTTTCCATAGAGGGAACTCAGAGGCACTATCGTCATCAACATCGCTATCGTCAGAGGAATGAGACTCTGAGTCATCGTCATCCTTTCCACTCCCGGACCCAGAGCCAGTCTCAGCCTCCTCCCCTCTTCCTGACTTCGAGTCAGCATCATCATCATCCTCGCTCTCAGACTTAGAGGGCTTGCTCGTTGTCTCCTCGATGTAGTTAGTCTCATCATCATCTCCACTTGAAATTGGCTCTAAGGAGAAGGAAGTCTCATCTGCCTGAGACTCTCTTATTCGACTCTAGGACCCCTTCCGACTCTAGGCACCCCTACCTCTACCCTGACCTTGACTCTCATCCCTGCTGGGTACTAGGTCCTGTCTGCCTCTCCTCCCCATCGTTAGAGGAGGTGCCGTTGGTGCCACTGGTGCAAGTGGAGGTTGAAAACAAGAAGCAGGAAATTAGTACAGAACAGTACAGAATTAGTATAGAGCAGTACAGAGTGTCAGAACAATATTAGTGCAGAATCAGCATGAATATGGCAAATTAGTATAGTGTGGTACAAAACACCATGAATATAGCAAAAAAGAATCAGTGCAAGTCAAAGGAAGGAGAAAGGTAGAATACGTGATAACCGTGGAAGGTAAGCAACGTCTCCCTCCTCTGCACCATCTGGACTAGAGAGACGACCAATCCAAGGAGGCCGTCCACGTACTCTAATGGCACTTGCAAATGAGTTTGACCATTAGTATACAGAAAAAGGAAGTATGAACTACAAACTGCGAGGCAAAGTGCATACTTGCTGCACGTCAGGGTCCTTGACGTACCCATGCTCCCCTTCCAACAAATCGACCGGCATCTGAAAGGCTGTCCCACTCGGCCGCCAACATGGGATTGCGGTCGGGATCACCGGAAAACTGGTTACATGAGCAATAGCGGGAGCAGCCCCTTCAACACCAGGCTCGGTAGCACGAGTAGCATCTCTAGTGTCTCCTACGCGGGCTCCGATCAAAAGTGGTATCATATGAGTCCTGATAAAGGCCGCATAGTCTCTGACTCCTCAGAAGAGATCGACATCTTGCCCACCATGTACTATACGATGGCCTCGACTGGAAGACCATCGGTTGTCCTCATGGATGATAGAGGTAGAGCAGGAACAACAGGGACAGATAGGCCTTGGGTCTGGCGCACGAACTGAGATACCAGGTCCGACAGAAGTGGCCCACCAGTAGGATCCGCATCCGAGAGGTGTCCCAAGACCCTGCATAGTCGTCCCATTTCACGACCGGCATCATCAGCCATGGTTGCCACATGACCTGTAAACAGAGAATTCACCAATGTCAGCGGGAGTAGTGGGAGCAGCCCCTTCAATACTAGGCTCGGTAGTGTCAGTAGCATCTCCTGCGTGGGCTTTGATCAAGGGTGGTATCAGATGAGTCCTGATAAAGGCCGCATAGTCTCTGACTCCTTGGAAGAGATCGACATCCTACCCGCCATGTACTGTACGATGGCCTCGAATGAGAGACCATTGGTTGTCCTCATGGATGATGGAGGCAAAGCAGGAACAACAGGGGCAGGTAGGCCTTGGGTCTGATGCACTAACCTCTCCCTGAGATACCAGGTCTGGCAGAAGGGGCCCTCCAGTAGGATCTGTATCTGGGAGGTGTCCTAACACCCTACATAGTCGTCCTGTGTCCCGGCCGACATCATCAGCCACGGCTGCCACGTGACCTGCGAACAAAGAATTCACTAATATCAGCGGGAGCACCAGGAGCAGCCCCTTCAATACCAGGCTCGGTAGCATGAGTAGCATCTCTAGCGTCTCCTGCACGGGCTCCGATCAAAGGTGGTATCAAATGAGTCCTGATAAAGGCCGCATAGTCTTTGACTTCTCGAAAGAGATCGACATCCTGCTCGCCATGTACTGTACGATGGCCTCAACTGGGAGACTGTAGACACCCCATTTTTGACCAACTTTAAGATTCAAACATCATTGATTGAGCGCTCGGTGTTAGTGCATGTTGTGCTCGTTTCGAGTTTCCGGAGTTTTCGGCTGAGTGCCTTGCCTCTGGGCCTCTGAACTCTTTGTGTTTTGGCTCGGTTTGTGGACCGAACCTTGTTTTCTCTTCCCTGGAGGGAGGGAGAGGTCTGTAGACCACCTTTTTGTGGTCGTAGACCACTTTTCCTGCTTGGAGACTAGTTTTCGATTTTCAGAGCCTTCGGCCGCGCGCATTGTCTCGGGACTGCTTAACGTTCTCCGTTTGGCTTGGTTTTCGAACCATGCCTTGTTGCCTTCGCCTAGAGGGCCACTGTGGTCTAGAAGACCACTTTTGTGATTGTAGACCATTTTTGGTGCCCGTAGACTAGTTTTTGAGGCTCCCAGCTGCGAGCCTTGCCTCTCGGATTCTTGTCTTGCATCCTTTTTGGTTTGTTTTTGGTACAAACCTTGTTTTCCTTGTTTGGAAGGTGGTATAAGGGTGGGAGACCAGTTCTTCCCCTTGGAGACCACTTTCTTTCCTGCCAGCCAGTTTTCTGGTCAGCCAACTGGTTTTCTTGGTCTTTGGACCACCTTTTCTGGTCGGCCACTACACCACTGCCTTGCTTTCATGCTGCAGACCATCTCCCACCATGGCCGGCCACTTCCACTGGTCGGCCGACCAGTAGAAGTAGCTGGCCAACCACTTGAAGTGGTCGGCAGCTTTCCATCACCTTTTTGGAGATATTTTCTAGCCAGCTGTTATAGCTGGAGGGCACAAAAGCCATCCTCCATACATGTGTATGGAGGGATGGCTTTAGGCCTAAAGCTTGTCCAACAAGCTTGTTACATGTTTTTCTATATAAGGGAGCCTCCTTCCTCATGCCTTAGGATATACATTTGTCTTTATCTTGCTCTTTGCTTCACATTTGTGCTTCAAAAGTGCCTTTTTATCACACTTTAACACACAAACACATAGTGAAACACCATAGTCTTGGAGCTGAGGTCCCTTAAAGTTGTTTTTGAAGTTTTTGGACTGGTTTTGGTCAGAAAAAGCTGTTGGAGTTGTTGCTCTAGAGTTGTTCTACAAGGGTGAGAAACTAACCGCTTAAACCCTTATTTTTGCTTAAGATTTTGGCCCTACTTGCATATTGTTTTAGACCTGACTTTAAACTACAAAAAGTTCTATTTTTCAGTCCTTAAAATGTTTGTTTCAGGCCTTGTTGGTGTTGGGGGTAGTCTACCCCCTCTTGTGCCTTGTTAGGCCTTGTTTTGAACCTTCCTTTTAAGCTATTGGGACCACCTTGTTTTGGCCTTCTTACCACGGAAATACAGAGGATTTTTAGTGGTGGAAATGGTGTTTTGAGGTCCCAAATAGGAGAGGGTCATCCCCTCTCCTTGTGTTTTGTATGCTTGCTTCATTTGCCTCATGTTTGAGCATGTTTGTTAAGCTTATGTTGGCTCCATCTTCGCATGTATTTGGGGTTATTTTGACATGGCATACCACTGTTTTGATTTGATTTTGTCATCCCTTGCATGCCTTATACACTTGTAGTGTAAATCTTGCAAACTAGCTTTGTGTGCTTCATGAAGTAGCATGTCTTTCTAGCTTGTTTTGAGTCCATCTCAGCATGTTCTTGGTGTTATTTTTCCATGATATACCTCTGTGAAGGTTTGGTTTGATAGCCCCATGCATGCTCCATGCACTTGTAGTGCAATTCCATGAACTAGCCTAATGTGTATCATGCTTTAGACCATCATTCTAGCATGATTTTGGCTTAACTCTAAGAAGCTTTTGTCCATGTTTTAGCATGCTCTAGCTCTGATTTGTGTTGTTTTGGTCATGCATGCCATGCTTTGTATAGCTATAATGCATTCTAACTTGTTAGCTTTGTGTAATAAGTCGACTAGCATGCATTACTTGGACTATTTTCATCATTTGTTATGTGATTTCAGTTCATGTTTCATGTTCATGCACTCACATTTGTCACTTTTTCCATGCTTTGAAGGGTTGGTCCTTTATACCTTAGACATGAACCATTGCGTATGCCTTCATGCCTAAGCTTGCGAGCTATCGTTTCAATGTGTTTTTGGGTTTATTTTCCCATGATATAACTTTGATTTCTGTTGTCAAAGCCATCTCATGCTTGGTCTTGGTAGGTGTAGTGTAACCCTCTCTTTTGGCCTTGCATATTCCATGCTTCATGCCCTTCATGCTAGCTTGTTTTTGCTTCCTTTCATACATGTTTTAGTATCATTTTGACATGTTCTAGGACTATTTTGGATTGCCTTGACCATATGCTTCATGTTTTGCATAGTTGTAGTACAAATGCCTATGCTAGCTTCAAGCTTTGCATACCATAGCATGCTTCATTTGCATCATGTACATGATTTGACATCATTTCACATGATATTTCAAAGCATATAGGACTGCCATGTTCCCATTTCTTTCACCCTTTGAGTACCTCTAAGGGTTGTGCATTGTTGCCTTGTTTGTGGCCAAGTGTGCATGCATGCATGCTTGGACATTTGAGCCCCCATCTTAGCATGTTTTGGTCTTTATTTGGACATACTTGAGCTCTGTTTGTAGCTGGTTCATGCATTTGTGCCATGTATTGCATGTCTATAGAGTAGTCCTCTTTACTAGCTTTAATGCCTAAGGACCTTTGCATGCTATACTTGTGTTGATTGAATGATTTGGCATCATTTCATACCTTATTTCAGAGCTTATAGTGTTGTTACACTCCCATGTTTATCACACCTTGAGCACTCTTGAGGGTTATGCTCTTAGGCCTAGTTGATAGGCCAATGCATGTGCATGTTTGTATATGCTTTCGTGCCTTCATTTCTTAGCATTATGGCCACTGTTTTGGCATGACTGAGGTCCGTCCATATTCAGTTTAAGTCCATTGTGCATGCTTGTCATTTGCATGTTGTTCGCATGCTTGTCGATTGCTTTGTGTTGAAATGCTTATGTTACATCGCAATGTGTATGCCATGTTCTTTGCATTATGTATGCTCATGTTACATTGCATTGAGTATGCCATGTTGTTACATTGCATTGTGTATGCCATGTTGTTGATTGCATTGCGTATGCCATGTTGTTCTTTTCATTGTGTATGCCACGTTATTCTTTGCATTGTGTATGCCATGTTACATTGCATTGAGTATGCATGTTGTTGCTTGCATTGTGTTTGGATTAGGTGTTAGTCCAAACACGAGAAACGAGGGATGTTTCATACTTGAAGTAATGAAACGTGCCTCAATTCTCGGTCGCCGACCCTCTTGATCATACATGATAGAGGTAAAGGCATTTATGTATTTATGCGTGCATTCATTTCATATTGAATAGTGCAATTTGGCTTCTCAGCCATCATGCATTAAAATGCGCGATTGGTGGCCTGAGAGTTGAGAACCACACTCCCATGAGCTTATGAAATGATAGGGAGGGTGGTTGTGCACACATACCTTGCAAATACATTGCCATGCCCTTTCTTGCTCTCTGTTGCAGCAAACTGGAGAAGTGCAGCAACAAGTGGTCAGCAGACCAGAAAAACTAGCTGGCCGACCACTTTTTCTGGTCTGCAGCAATGGTAACTAGTCGGCCTGTGGCTGGCAACACCCCTAGGTGGTTGGCCATGCTCCTACAGGTCCCCAAGGTGAGTTAGAAGCTATCTGGAGCTTGGTGCAAAGTTCTGAGAACAAATGAAAACAGAGGCAAATTGGGGCATTGCGGTGGATTTCCGAACGAGGCGACCGAGCATGCGTGCATTCTTCTCCCTCTGAGGACATTTCTTTACTGCTTTACTTAGCTAATTTGCTTAGCTAGTTTATGCTTTGGTTTTGTACTTAATTAGCTAATGTGCTTAGCTATTCAATTTGTGTTGTAATACTTAATTAGTTAACTTGTTAGTTAATTAGTTTTGTTTGTAATAATTAGTTTAATTAGCTTAGATTAGCTAGTTAGCTCATTATTCGGACCCTCCGTCGAGAGGGCCAACTGTTGTAATAAGCGTGCTTGTGTACGATGCATGTCTTCCAACCCCCAT